TAATATTGACATTCCCTGTAAAATAATATTGACGTTCCCTACCCATTAGATATAAATATTGACAGTCCCTGTAAAATAATATTGACGTTCCCTACCCATTAGATATAAATATTGACATTCCCTGTAAAATGATAATATTGATGTTCCCTACCCATTAGATATAAATATTGACAGTCCCTGTAAAATGATAATATTAACGTTCCCTACCCATTAGATATAGATATTGACAGACCCTGTAAAATAATAATATTGACGTTCCCTACCCAATAGATATAAATATTGACATTCCTTGTAAAATAATAATATTAACGTTCCCTACCCATTAGATATAGATATTGACATTCCCTGTAAAATGATAATCTTGACGTTCCCTACCCATTAGATATAAATATTGACAGTCCCTGTAAAATAATAATATTAATGTTCCCTACCCATTAGATATAGATATTGACAGACCCTGTAAAATAATAATATTAACGTTCCCTACCCATTAGATATAAATATTGACAGTCCCTGTAAAATAATAATATTAACGTTCCCTACCCATTAGATATAAATATTGACAGTCCCTGTAAAATAATAATATTAACGTTCCCTACCCATTAGATATAGATATTGACAGACCCTGTAAAATAATAATATTGACATTCCCTACCCATTAGATATAGATATTGACAGTCCCTGTAAAATAATAATATTGACAGTCCCTTTAAAATAATAATATTGACGTTCCCTACCCATTAGATATAGATATTGACAGTCCCTGTAAAATAAAAATATTGACGTCCCCTACCCATTAGATATAAATATTGACAGTCCCTGTAAAATAATATTGACGTTCCCTACCCATTAGATATAAATATTGACATTCCCTGTAAAATAATAATATTGACGTTCCCTACCCATTAGATATAAATATTGACAGTCCCTGTAAAATAATAATATTGACGTTCCCTACCCATTAGATATAAATATTGACATTCCCTGTAAAATAATAATATTGACGTTCCCTACCCATTAGATATAAATATTGACAAACCCTGTAAAATGATAATATTGACGTTCCCTACCCATTAGATATGAATATTGACAAACCCTGTAAAATGATAATATTGACGTTCCCTACCCATTAGATATAAATATTGACATTCCCTGTAAAATAATAATATTGACGTTCCCTACCCACTAGATATAAATATTGACATTCCCTGTAAAATAATAATATTGACGTTCCATACCCATTAGATATAAATATTGACAGTCCCTGTAAAATAATAATTAACGTTCCCTACCCATTAGATATAGATATTGACAGACCCTGTAAAATAATAATATTGACATTCCCTACCCATTAGATATAAATATTGACAGTCCCTGTAAAATAATAATATTGACGTTCTCTACCCATTAGATATAAATATTGACAGTCCCTGTAAAATAATAATATTGACGTTCTCTACCCATTAGATATAGATATTGACAGTCCCTGTAAAATAATAATATTGACAGTCCCTTTAAAATAATAATATTGACGTTCCCTACCCATTAGATATAGATATTGACAGTCCCTGTAAAATAATAATATTGACGTTCCCTACCCATTAGATATAAATATTGACAGTCCCTGTAAAATAATAATATTGACGTTCCCTACCCATTAGATATAGATATTGACAGTCCCTGTAAAATGATAATATTGACAGTCCCTGTAAAATAATAATATTGACAGTCCCTTTAAAATAATAATATTGACATTCCCTACCCATTAGATATAGATATTGACAGTCCCTGTAAAATAATGATATTGACGTTCCCTACCCATTAGATATAAATATTGACAGTCCCTGTAAAATAATAATATTGACATTCCCTACCCATTAGATATAGATATTGACAGTCCCTGTAAAATAATAATATTGACGTTCTCTACCCATTAGATATAAATATTGACAGTCCCAGTAAAATAATAATATTGACGTTCCCTACCCATTAGATATAAATATTGACAGTCCCTGTAAAATAATAATATTGACGTTCCCTACCCATTAGATATAAATATTGACAATCCCTGTAAAATTCTGTCAAAACTTGATGATTTTGTTTCTAGACGAGCCCTACAGACAGCTATGATAAATAAAGGAGTGATAGAATGGTTGGTTGGAGTATTAGAAGATAATGATAATCTCTCAGATTATAGTCTAGAGTATACGGCAGCTCTACTCATGAATCTCTGTCTACGAACTTCAGGTATTTGATGAGCCAAGATATCCTTTTCCTTGCATTATAATGGTATGACTGAACTACAAAAATATCCATCTTTCCGAAAAAATTTGGCTTTGGCAGATCCAGTACAAAAAAAAAGATTTAAAACCTCTGGACCATCAGACACATTCAAGAATTCTGTTATCACATCAAGTAATCTTGAATTTTGATTTTCCTTCTATAGGTAAATTAAGATGTTCCCAGAATGCTCATCAAACATTGAAAGTTTTGAGTGATTTACTAGGACATGAAAATACGGAGGTGAGATTTTCTATTTATCAAATATATACCGCATCTTATTGATTGCTGTATAGATACCACATTTTGACCGAATTCAGTTTGTAGTATGAAAAGAGAGAATAAATAAGAAAGAATATCATACGCTTCAGCTTGATATCGTTTGGAATCTGCCGCTTTACTGTCGTACATGTATGTACTTCGGTATATGTATATCAATTGCCTATATGGCCGAAAGAGCAGTCGCTATTGTTGAAAAGGGTAATAAATTTGTAGACCATGTGGGTAAATAGCTTGTGGATGACTATATCTGTGAATTTATAATCATTTGTAGGTAAGACCCTATGTAAATGGAGCTCTGTATAGTATATTAGCTATTTCATCTATTCGAGAAGAAGCCAAAAGAATGGTTAGTATTAAAATTTCTCGTAGATGTTCAGAACCAAATTGATTTTGATGAAAATTATTATTTTGATGGTTTGAAATAGATGTTTGTCATTCAAGAAATATTCCCTAAAAATGCAAAGAAAAATAGTAAAAAATATTTTTTTGGACAAATTAGAATCCATTTGAAGTTTTTATAGTTCCTGGATGATCAAGGGTATACAATTTGTGATAGTGAAATAGTCTTGAATAATGAGATTCTTTTTTTTTCACTTAATATTTGTCACCAGATACTTTTCTTTTTTTCTGATATTTGTTATGTAATTTGTAAAGTTTCACATGTTTTTATTTTGTTTGTAGGATATGGAAGATATTTTGAAATGTTTTATTAAAGAAGATCAACCAGATATGAACAGACAAATAGAATTTATTATAAAACAGTTAAACTCAAGTAAGTGTATTTTTTGGCTTCTATTACTATGATGTTGATGCTTTAAGGGAAACTACCTTTTAGAATGGACATGAAATTTATAGTCTCAAACTTGGACAGTAAGTGTATATATCCATCAGTTGGACTTACCAGATGCCATGACTAAAGAATAGAATCTCTATATAAGACGATATATCCATTAAACTATAAAAATATTTATTTAAAATCACTTAGTTTAATGAATTATCACTTAGTTTTATGGATTATTTCGGATTATAGAGGTATTTACTGTTTTCAATTTTTTGGTCATCCTAAAAGGTAGTATACCTTTAGACTTTAAAGTTAAAATAATGAGCTGATATTTTTGGTCCATTTTGAAATATTTATATTTATAGCCTAAAATCAGAATTTTAACTTAATTTTATTTTGAAAAATTGTATATATTTAAGTATTTCGTGGTGAAAAACCCCTGAGATAGGAGAAGAAGATGATGACTCTGATATTAACTTGTTATTATAGATGAGGTAGCTGAAGAAGATGATGATGATGATGGTGATGAAGAAGAAGATGGTGAAGAAGATCAAGATGCTCTGGAAGCTGATTTAGATAAAGATGAAACACTACAAGCCAAACCTGAAGAACTAAGTGGGGAAGCCTTGTTAAATAATGTTTATCAGACAAATAAACCTGGAGGAGAAAACCCAAAGAAAAAGGTTCGTATCATTTTAACTCATTCCACTCTGGTGGCTGATCTACTGGTAGATTGAATGTGTCAGTTGTTTCTTTTTTTCTGGCTGTCACAACATAACAATCAAAGAGACCAGTTATCACAGACAAGTTATTCTATTTTATTTTATAAAATGTGTTGTTACCTTTTTTCTAGCTTTCAGAACATAACTAGTTATTACAGAGACCAGTAACACCTAGTAACTCACTCTGTATTCTTTTCTAGCTTTCGGAACATAACTAGTTATTACAGAGACCAGTAACACCTAGTAACTCACTCTGTATTCTTTTCTAGCTTTCAGAACATAACCAGTTATTACAGAGACCAGTAACACCTAGTAACTCACTCTGTATTCTTTTCTAGCTTTCGGAACATAACTAGTTATTACAGAGACCTTCTACTCCTAGTAATTCACTCTGTATTCTTTTCTAGCTTTCAGAACATAACCAGTTATTACAGAGACCAGTAACACCTAGTAACTCACTCTGTATTCTTTTATAGCTTTCAGAACATAACTAGTTATTACAGAGACCAGTAACACCTAGTAACTCACTCTGTATTTTTTTCTATTTTTCAGAACATAACTAGTTATTACGGAGACCAGTAACACCTAGTAACTCACTCTGTATTCTTTTATAGCTTTCAGAACATAACCAGTTATTACAGAGACCATTTACTCCTAGTAACTCACTCTGTATTCTTTTATAGCTTTCAGAACATAACTAGTTATTACGGAGACCATTTACTCCTAGTAACTCACTCTGTATTCTTTTATAGCTTTCAGAACATAACCAGTTATTACAGAGACCAGTAACACCTAGTCAGAGAAAAACAGCTGATTCCAGAATGGGTACTGCAAGGTAAGTTATGATTTTAATTGTGTGCACATGCCTCTATAATTTTTTTAAATGAAAATCTTAATTCGCCATATGTTTATTTCAATCTATGCCTGGAAAATACATTTTTATATATATAGTCCATTTATATAGAATCCCCTTTATGCAGTTTAGTTTAGTGATGCCGTTCAGAATTCCAAATTTTGTTTTGAGATATATTCTGATTATGGTATACGGAACTCTCAAGTGGCTCAAGTGGTCAATTGGTATAGGCATAATATTGAAAACTTCTGGCTCTAATTGTCCATAACTTTGGAGATTCATATCTCTCAGTGGTAAGTCAGTTTGTAATATATTTTGTGATTTTTCCAACAGACCTACTTCTCAAGCTGATGGTAGACAGTCTAATCTATCGGTACATAATGATAATGCTGGTAAAGTTCAGTCCAAGGTCGACATGACAAGACCACCAACTAGAAGTGGCAGTAGATCTATAGATCCAGATGCTAGTAAGTTCCTTCCAATATATTTTAAAATGGTACACAAGAGCCTTTGATTGTCTTTGGTTTGAATAAAAGTCCAAATGATGACAAATTTGTCAATAGTAAATTAGAATTTACTGAATTTAGTCTATTCATTTTGGATGCCCAATGTTAAAATTGGTTTTGACTGCCAAATATTGGAATGTAGAAGCTTGTGCCGCTTTCCTGGTTACTGTACATAGTCGATAAGGACAAAGGAAAAGGGTGTAAAACTCTATTTCTTTTCAGATGCAGATGGTAAACAAGCAGATCCTAAAGCAGTTAGACCTAGTACCAAAGCCATGGAGAAAATTGGACCAAAGGCTGAGTATGTATAGTTAAAAAGACATTTGCTTATTTGCTAGAGAACTAGCGACAGGGTACTGTCGCACAACACACAACATATTTGGTCAGACTTTTCTACAATAGATAGTACGAAAGTTGAAATTTCTTACAATTTGCCATTGTTCCTTTCAGTGTAAAAGAATATGTGAGTGCATTTGGATCCAAGCCAAGAATACCTCGTACACCAGACAGCAGTAAAAGACCAGCAAGTAAAGTTTCAATACCACGTGCCACACCTCAACCTCAATATAGTCATTCTGGTCCAAGACCCAGCTCAGCAGGAAAATCAGGTTTGTTCGACTTTCAATTAGTAATGTTCCGATGTCGTCAACAATCCAATAATATAACAAAACAAACCCCTTCATCTTGTACATACTACTTGTTATTTCAGCCATATTCTGTTGATGTGTCAAGTTGACAGAATTAATTTTTTTTTTTTTTTTTTTTTCCAGGTCCACAAAGTCCAAAGAAAACAAGTGGTCAAATGAGGTCTGAAGGCCATTACTAAAAGTTGATAAATCAATAAAACTGAATATTTGTTAAAAAAATTTGATATTTCAAGATTTCAAGCAGATATTCTTATTGATATTTATCAGTATTCATGTTGATTGAATATTATTTAACATATTCCCAAATCTATCCAAAGAGATATCAGGCTGACATGACAGTCCAGTCTAAATATTAAATTTAGATTCTGTAATCAGTTGAATATTTACATTAAAACACAACTGTAATTTGTATACATTACCTTTACTTTCATGATAAATCCATTCGAAAAAAAAGTATTTTGATCATTTTCATTGGTCATTAATTTAATCCTTAACTAATCAAATTGACTGCTCAGCTCATAGCTTTGATGTATAATATCTTCTTGTGGTCTTTGAAATCTGAAGATGTTTTTTGTGATGTTTTACTCTGTGATATAGTTTTCTTTTTCTCTGATTGTTTTCTTGAGAATTTTCTAGCCAATGCTATTTCTCTTCCATTCTATTCTTGCTCAGGAACTACAATATATTTGTTATTTTATTTACCAATTGACAGCAAAATTTTGCTTGAATTTTAGTATCCTATGTATTTGTTTTAAGGTTAATATTACCAATCTTTATCTGTGATTCCTGTAATTCCATTGATAGATACCTTAAGAATGACTTTGTTTTTAAATTAAGTAAGTCTGAGATTTCTGAAACTGATATCTTGATTCACAAATAGTAAGTGAACATCTGTTTAACCCAAAAGAATTCTTTTTTTAAATTTTTCGTTAGGTCTTAATAGAAATTGGGTCTCTTTATAGTCATTTGATATGTATAATGTTATTTTTCCGTCCCATGTTATATGAATATTGCCTGTTCTATAGTTTTGTAGTATTTCAGTTTATATTTTATTATATTTCTGTTTATTATTGTCCGTCCATATTGTTATACTTAAAAACAAAATAAAGGTGTTGTGTTTATCTCCTTTAAGATTGTTTTTTTGTTAAATAATGGAATACAATTTTATGGTCACTTCTCCTGGGTTTTATTGTACATGACATTTCAATAATTTACATTGTCATCATCAGATGAAAGGAGGATGTTGAAATGTTGTGTATAATATAACTCTGGAGTAGTGTATCATAGTATTTTGTTATTTAATGTGATCTCTACCCTGCTCAAGGATTATGAGTTTAACAGTATATTTAAACCTGTTATCCAATTATTGACACTGAATTTCCCTCATGCAAACTGCATTGCTTTGTCAGTATTCATCAGCTCAATCACGAGCAGCAACTTGGATTAGTTTCATTTCATTCCAGTGTTTCCAATGTTTCAACCCAGTTATAGATTTTGTTTCTTTCAGCTTGGAATCTTAATTCTAGTCATTTTATTCTTGCTTAGTAAAAAGTTACCTATAGGCCGTATTTGCCTCTATGGCCAATATGCATTAAAAATGTCAAAAATTATTTTCTGTTCTATGGCAGATATTTGAGTTCTGTTTTTTCTGACATGTCCAGATAGTCCAGGTGAAGATTGGTGCAAAATTTCAGCATTGTAGCTTTGTAAGTTTTCACGCAAAAAATTTATTTGTCTTTGAGCACTTCTTGTGCACCAATATGCAGATTGCATATAGCTAGTTTGACAACTTACAGATTTTGATTTGATTTCATGTGTTAGCTATAGGCCATATTTGCCTAGTATTTTAAAATAATTGGTTTTCGAATTTGATTTAACTCTTTTTTTTTTTTTTTATAAAACGCGCCTATCCTATCGCCTATATATAAGGACTATATACAAGGTTTACAGAATAGTAATCAGGACGATAGATTTTAATCACAACAGTCATAGTAAGTGAAATTCACTCCTAACTTGTGACTACTCTCTCAGTCAGTTTGCTTTGTTTATAGCAACCGGTAAGTCGACTTTTTGAATTCTCTAGAATTTCAGATACATTTTAAAAATGCCCCCACCCTCCCTATTTACCCCCACCATCCTTATTTGCCAACATCATAAAAGGCTTAGTTTCTATGGATTTGAAAGAAACACGGATGTCTGACTGAAAATTAAAAAAGTGCAAATCAATCCTATTAATTCATATGCTGAATAGAGGTTCAGGCAATTTATTTCTTGATTTGTTCAAATTTAACATGTTTATTGGTTTGAGCTCATTAATATAACAGATGGGAACACCATTAAAACAGGTGGTCCTAGTATAAATATTTCATTTAGTTTCATATCAATAGATATAAAATTATATGGTTTCATTAAAGGGATATTTCTGGCCTATGTAGGTGTATCAGGAACACTTATGGCTTCTATTTGTCTTGAGTGGTATTTTCTATAATACATCATAATCTAAAGTTGGAAATTTTAATGGTGCAAATAGAAACTATAACTATCAGTGTCCCTAATACACCATGTTCCTTTAGCAACGGTACGTTAGACGCTTATGGTTCAATCCTGGCATAGGTCGAGATGATACCTTCGGATTTTTCAACCCGGTTTCCCCCTGTCAGTGACGCTGGAAAAAGGGTCTTGTCTTTCGGATGGGACAATAAATTGAGGCCCCGTGTGCTACAGGCTGTGGACGTTAAAGATCCCTCGACAGTTGGAAATCGAAAAGAGCAGGCTAATGCCACTGTCCTGGCAAATATTCCCTCATTGCACCTTGCGTGGCGTTACCCGTCTTCATTAGCCCACATGGTGCAGAAAAGTCGGACATAAAAACTCCATTCATTTCATTTATTAGCAACGGTACGATGGTAATGATCATCTAGCCGTTGCTCTCACAATCCCATTTTCTCGTCATTAATTTTGACTGTTAAAGAGTTTACTTATTGTTAACCAACAGGTTGCTATCTGTGG